CATAATCACATATAAACAGCTTTCCTTAGTTATATTATTAATGTGCTCTTCAAGTATTCCCACTTCAAAAATAAACAATTTCAAGTTAACTTTACCAGTTCATATTTCAAAAAATGGTTTAACATCAGAGAAAATTATGAAAATACATCACGATTGCATAGATTAGGGAAAAGACTGACTGCACCGCATTGTGGGTATACAGTACTAATGAATTTTCAGATCATTGAAATTAGTTTCATATGTAATTATTATACTCCGACAATTAAATAATATTTGGAAACAAGGTCAGATTTCTGCAATTATGATTTCCCCTTCAACAAGTGACGGACTACTGAAGAACTGTGAAAAGAATATTTATTCTTTTTGTTAGCAAATGGTTCAACACTTCAGCTGGAAAGAAAACAACCCAATTTATTTCGTAAATAAGATTTTAATCATTTAAATACGGTCCATAGAAATTAGCTTTAGGTATCTGGTGCTTTGAAAGTCACTCACTAACGGGGATGGATTCTTTCCACACGGATACTGTTAACCAAACAAGACAAAGCCTGAACATGCAGGGGGGCTAGTTGGATAAGCAAAGAGAAACTTGCAAGTCAGTGTTCAAATGGCAAGCAGTACATTTCTAGCTGGTTAAACCCTAGCAGAACATTTCAGGGTCCTCAATCTTGGTTCTTGCCTAATCTCTGGGATTAGGCAACAACAACAAAATTGCATTATAGAGCGCCTTTCACATCGGGACGATGTCCCAAAGCACTGCAAGAAGGGTGCACCCCTTCAAGGAGGGAGTGTGCACTCTATTTCAGACAAACAGACATTTTATCTATGTGCAGAACTCTCAGCAATTGATTTGAACACTCAAGCATGGTGATTGGTTTCATGTTTGTCAGACATCCAGCTGCAACAAAAAACTGCTTTGTGTGTTCAGGAATTGTTTCCCCTTAGGATGTAAAAAGGCAGAACTAAAGAAAGAGTGATAAAAGTAGTGGGCACCTCTGGTTGGACAATTGCAAATTGGTGGATGAACCCTGTTGATCAGGTTATGAAATGGATTACAAGAAAGAAAGAAACACAGTATTCAAATACCTGAAAATGTCAGGCAAAGTGATTGCTTAAAAATGTCTTCAGTACAGCATAACATATTTAACAAGTCTAAGACAAGATCAAGATTTAAAATACGTTTTGCAGTAAGCACAATGTGAATAGTGTTCTACAGAAATGTCTCAGAGGTGCAGAGGACTGTTTTTGGTGTACACTGACAGACGTTCACTGAAGTGCCTTTTTTTTGGTCAGCCGTGTGTCTGGCAGATGCGGAAACCCATGCTTAAGAGTATCAACACCATACTGAGAATTCCATGCATCCCCATTACACATGGAAATTCCAGAGTTATTTGGCAGGATGGAATGTGCATTCTCTCCCTGGAGGGACGTATCCTGCTTACCTAATTCTGAAAAGTATTAAGCACACGTTGACAAAAAAAACAAGGCTTTGGGACCCCAGTGTGCCTTGGGTACTGCAGGAATCTTAACCAGCTAAAACCGTATAGCTTGCCATTAAGAGCACTGCCTGGGAGCAGAGTGGGAAGAGTGACTGCCCCCAATGAATGGTCTAGCCTTCCAAGTCCTGCCGATGAGCCAACCTGGTTGAACTATCATCAGCATCGCCCTAAAGTAACCAGAATATTACAGTACTGTGCAATATGCACATTAAGGGTTTAAAGATCATCTAGAACTCTGCAGCTTGTGTACTCTCCCGCACCAAGCTCTATGAACATATCACCCCCATCCTAGCCCGCCTCCACTGGCTCCCCATCCCCCACAGGACAGAGTTCAAAATCCTGGTGCTTGCTTTCAAAGCCCTCCATGGCCTTGCTCCCCACTACTTCTGTGACCAGCTAACTCAAGCCAATCTGTCCACACCCTCCACTCAGGAGACTCCATCCCCGGACTGGCCTTCAGCTTTTCTGCCCCCATCCTTCGGAACTCCATCCAACAGTCCCTTCACCTCCCTTGCTTCTCCCTTGCCCACTAAAGACCCTCCTTTCCAACCTAATTTTCACTCACCCTCCTACCTTCCACCACTTCTGATCCCAACCCCCAGTTTGCCAAATCCTTGACTGTCCAGTACCTTGGGATGCGAAAGGCACAATTCAAATATAATTTGTTGTTGTCGTTAAAAGCAATTCTAAAAATACAGAAAATACGTTGACTGGAAGTTCTTGTTCCAATCTTGCAAAATTTAGTTGAAAATTTACTGCAAGTGATTCATAAGACTGCAATTTAATGTAGAGGTTCAGATAGCAGCATAAACCACAACAGCAAAGAATCCCAATTAAATCACAACCATATTATTGCGGACTCTCTCCAAACCATTTCCTATTAATAAACTAAAGAGGTTTGTTAAAACTAAAATTATATTGATTGAACCCACTGAAGTGTCATCACTAAAACTGTCAAATGATTCAAAGAAAGGTCTAACATTTAGCAGTGGAGGCACAACATTCAGGCTAATGAGAACATAGCATTCGTTTTTGTAAATCTAAAGCAATTACTTAGTCGTATGGCAGGATTAGCTGTTAACTGATTATCTCCATATGCCACCCTAAATGTTTTAAATACAGAATAAAAATTATTTTCCTAATACCTACTAACCCCTTCCAACTATTATCATTTGGACCTTAACATTAACTTTGAGCATTTTTATCAGATATGTTACGGTCAAAATGTTACTGAAACACTGACTGGCCAGCGCCTTGGGATGTCCTCCCGACGTGAAAGGGGTTATACAAATGTAATTTTGTTGTTGTCACCTGTAGGCAGATAATGTGTTCTTCAAAGTGACAGGACACAACTCAGACAGACTATAGATTTGACTAGTAGCAAACTTGTAAATTACATAGAAACAGGTTTTTAAATCAGAGGAATGATCTTTAACACAATCTCATTCGTGAAAAGGAATGTTTTAAAATATTCCCAGCAGTGTCTTTGCAACTGGTGGATGAATGAATTTATTGTAGGATGTATGCAATTGGAAAAGACCATTTCAGTTCACCTGATGGGTCCCAAATATGCATTTTTAAAAAAATCTTTACATTTGGTATAGCACCTTTCACATCAGGGTGGACATCCTAAAGCACTTCACAAAGGACATCTTAAAGCACTTCACAGGATAAACCTTAAAGTGCAGTAGCTGTGTGTTTTGTGGGTGAACGTGGTTTATGTTTGATCAATCAAGAAACAATGACAAATGTTTAAGTTGCAACATTCAAATTTAGTCAAACTCATCATTAACCTAACAACTAGAACACACAAATAGAAACTTCAGTGGAAGAAATCATAAAGTCACCAATTACCAGAATTCAGAAGTGAAAAGGAAAAAATTCTTTAAAAAAAACAAAAGGTCAATCAGTACATAAGAGAAAAGGGCAGGCTAACATTTCAGATATTATATCAGCCGACATCTTTCACGTGCTGATTGACCTGTTGTGTATTTCAAGTTTATATGATGGGTTTCAAATTATTGAAATACTACATCTCACTAATTACAGTATAATCTTACACTAGTTAATACTCATACCTAGTACACTGCACATTTCTTTTAAATTTATTTTTCAGATTAGTTGAAACTTGAATTGTAAGAAATGATCCTGTCCGATTGCTGCTTAAACCTTCAACTCCTTGGCCGTGACTTTGTTCGTTCAAATGATGCAAAACTCACAATGTAAAAACACAATTTTGTACTGGGCATACAGGCACAACATTAAAAACGAATACACATCAATATTCTGGATCCCAAATCACTGTTCTAATCTATTTATAATACTCAAACTTGATTACCCCGAATCATTAAGTGTCCCACATTTTACCGGGGAATTTAAAAGAAACTGTTAGAATAACCTGTTTAATTTAAAAGCAGGAAGTTTTTCTTAAAATGGTGATTTTCAATAGAAATGTATCTTTTGGCTGAACAACCCAAAATTCACAACCAGTAACACGTGGTACTGTACCGCTTTGGAGATTATGAGCGCTCAACCACTCAATGGGCACTGAACACACATAAAAGATACAGTACATTCAAAGTAAAAATCGCATGGGGTGTGCGGGTTAGAGACATGGGGTGTGCGGGTTAGGGAGATGGGGAAGGGTTGGGGAGGGAGTAAAGAAAGAAGAGTAGTGGCTGTAAAATATACAAAGCTGCGTTTCAGTACCAGTGAAGCTCTTACGTGCCCTACGCTTCTTCCCAGGATCATAGATGCAAAAGCAGACACGGCTATGGGAGGGCAGCCGTGCAGATTTATGCAAAAGCTTATTATGCGTGTCAGCTAACTTTACAACTGCTGCCAAGTCTCGGGAACATTCCTGTAGTGTCATTCCTTGCAGCGGAAAGAGTTGAAGGGGAATTGAAGGGGAAGGGAGCATGTTAGAAGGGAGCAGTGGGGGGGGGGGGGGGAGGGCGAGGTGGTCACCGCCAATGTGGACAGATTTGGGGGTCACGCCGAATTGGGGCGTGTGTGGGTTTTTTTTTGGGGGGGGGGAGGGGGGGTGGGTTTGTTTTTGTTGCACTGCGCGTGTAAAACCTTTTTGGGTGGAGCCCCTAATTTTTTTTAAAAAAAAATTACAACCCGCAAAACGTTTTGTGACCCCACCTTTGGAAGACCCTTTCCTTTAGTTTCCAAAGTACTGTACCTAAAACGGCCAACTCTGCTGCTCCCCACAGGAGGCGGTGCATAATATTGGGCCACTTTTGTGTGTGTGTGTGTGTGTGTGTTATGGAGGGGGGGAGAGAGGGGCTAATGCAGTATTTGGTGGATTTGTGGTGGGGGGATGGGGGGGTAGGATGTTGGGGGGGGGCAGAGAGAATCTGTGGGGGTCTAAATGTGTTTTAACTGCTGGTAAAACCTCTGGTCTCTTACGGGCAGCTACAGGTGAGCGACATGTCTGACCCCAGAGGGGCCGCCACCTCCCACTCCCCCCCACCTCACCCCCACCCGTTGCTTTACCTGTTGCGTCCTTTCGGTCGGGTTCTTCATGACCGCCTGCCTGAAGCTGTTGTCCACGTAGGACGCCATGGTCGCCGGTCCCCGGCCTCTCCTTGTCCGGAGAGGGCCTCGGCCCTCCTCCTCCTCCTCCTCTCGACTCTTCTCCAACCCTCAGCCCCGGGCGCGGCGCGGCCCTCTCCCTCTCCTGGGCCCGGGAGGGAGGGAGGGAGGGAGGGGAGGAGCAGCAGCACGAGATTGTTTGGTCCCTCTCTCTCTCTCTGTCTCTCTCTGGGGCGACTGCAATCAGGTGTCGAGGCCGCGTTTGTCCTCTCTCCTTCTCTCCTCTCTCCTTCTCTCTCTGCGGCCTCACCTGGAGCTCCGGAGCCTCGAGAGTGTTCCGCTGCCCGGGGCGGGGCGGGGCGGGGGGTCGAGGCCGGAGCTTGTCCCCCTCCTCTGCTCCGGCCGGGGTCGCCGCTCCGGGGTTTGCTGTACCTGCGGCTGGAGCCGGGAGTTGTTGTGCCTGCGGTGGAGCTGTGAATTGTTGCCCCTTCTGGCGGAGCAGTGGTTTGTTGTCCCTGTGGTGGAGCCGGGCCGGGGAGTGGAGGAGCGGAGGGGGAGGTCCCCCTGGTGGAGCTGCGCGGGGTGGGTTGTCGCCCTTGGTCCCCCTGGTGGAGCTGCGCGGGGTGGGTTGTCGCCCTTGGTCCCCCTGGTGGAGCCGGGTGACGGTTATTCGGTGCGAGTTTGAAGCCGCCTCTGGCGCGAGGCTGGACGCGGACACGCGCCGCCGGCACCAGCTCTCGGCGTCACTGGCTGCGAAACAATGGGATTAGAACCCGGGCCCCGGGAGGAGCGCCGCCCGCGCGCCGCGCTGCTCCTCAGTGCCCGGCGCCGCCGCTCGGCATCAACAACCCGCTGCAGCTGCAGCAGCAGCAACAACAGCAGCAGTGAACCGACCGCCAGTCACATCGCCCTCATCATCCATCCATCCATCGGAATTTTAACAAGCAAAAAAAAAAGCAAAACAAAACACGGTATTCCAGTCGATTATTCTCCTTTTCTTTCTTAACCCCCTCCAGAAAAAAATAAAACTTCTCCTCTTTCTTTTCCTCCACTCCCCCACTCCCCCACACCTCCCTCTTTGCTCAGAGCGTTTGGGGATGTTTTTTTGTGTGTGTGTGTGTGTGGAGTAATCCGGGAGCCACGAAAAGAAAGGAAAGAAGGAAGGAAGGAAGGGAGGAAGGGAGAAAAGGAGAGGGAGGTGAAATTAAAACAAAATGCAAAATATTATCTGAGCGAGAAAAGTGCAACGCCGCGGTTCATTTTCCTTCCCCGGCTTCAGTGTCTGCGTCCGACGAGAAGGACCCCGACCCCGAACCGCCGCCACTGCTGCTGCTGTTTGCTTTGTTCCATCACCGACGCCAAATCTCCAGGAGACGAACAGCCACTGAGAGGAGGAGGAGGAGGAGGAGGAGAAACAAACTCCTTTTGCACAACTAAAACTCGCTGAGAAAACTCACCCCAGCAACTCTCTACCGCCTCCTCGTACCTCTTATCCTCTACCCCCCTCCCTCCCCAAAAAAAACCTTTCAGAGAGCCTTAAAGTCTCTCGTCTTCTCTCCCCAAAACAGTCCCCAGGGCAGAAGATGGCAATCGTTTCTGATCTAAAAAAAATAATAGCAATCCAATTGCATTTGATAATTGTTATAATAATAATAATAAATAACCCTCGCGTTTGATACGTCTCGAAGCGCTTCACTTCCCGAACCGTCTTCTACTCACGGAAGTCACCTTGGTACACCAGCCACCTTAAGGCTCAGGCGCGGGTGCCGCTCAACGCGCCGGGCTCAACTTAACGGTCCATCGGCAGACGTGGCTGGACCTTATCGAATCTTACCGCTCCGCCCTCACCTCTGCTAAATTGTCCTTCTACTCCCAAGACAAGCTCGGAGACCAAGGACAACCCCAGGCTCCTCTTCTCCATCACCAACCGGCTCCTCCGCCCACTTCTCACTCCTCGCCCATCCTCACCTCAAATGCCAACTGCGAGGAGTTGCTGGACTTCCTTGAAACCTAAGTCAAGGGGAACCGCTCAGCTGCCTCTGCCCATCCATCTACTACCCCCTCCCTATCTCCCCCTCCCACCTCGGTCCCTACCTATCCCACCTGCCACACCTTTGAACCTATCTTCCCCCCTCTTCTCTCATCACCACCCCGAAACCGACCACCCGCTTCCTCGACCCCATCCTTACCCGTTTCCTTACCTCCCAGTTCCACCTCCTCTCAGACATCATAAACCTCTCCCTGTTCATTGGCACCGTTCCCATCCCTCTAAAAACCTCCGTCATCACTCCTATCCTTAAAAAACCCCCCCTGGACCCATCCCTGCTTTCAAATTACCGCCCCATCTCCAACCTCCCTTTCCTTTCCAAGGTCCTGGAACAAGTCGTTGCTTCCCAGCTTCGCTACTTCCACTCCTTTTGCAACCCCCACAGCACAGAAACAGCCCTGGTCAAAGTGACAAATGACATTTGCCCATCTGTGACGGGGGCTCCCTCTGCCTTCTCGTCCTCTTTGACCTTCATGGTTCTGACCATGAATGTTTCAGATCCTACCTCTCACACCGTCTCCACTTCATCTCCACAAATGGCTTCTCCTCTAGCCCCCTCCCTTCTTGTACGGAGTTCCTCAGGGTTCTGTCCTTGGTCCCCTCCTCTTCAATATCTACATGCTCCCTCTTGATGACATCATCCGCCGACATGGGATCAATTTCCACATGTATGCGAATGACACCCAACTCTATCTTTCTGTCTTCACCCTCAACTCCAGGGCCACTGCAGTCCTGACAACATCTGTCAGACATCAAATCCTGGATGATTGCTAACTTTTCGGTTGAACGTCAACAAGACCGAGGCTCTCCTGATTGGCTTCCGTCAGCACCTCCTCACCTCAGGCGCTGACAGCATAACCATCCATAGTTGCACACTCCATCTTGCTAAGCCCGTCCAGAACCTTGGCATCTTGTTTGACCCTCAACTATCCTTTCCACCCCACATCCGTGCCATTGTCCCGCTCTGCCTTGCCCTACCTCTGCAACATCGCCCGGCTCTACCCGTCTCACACCGCAGGCCGCCGAGAACCTCATATACACATTTAAGATATCCAGGCTTGACTACGCAAACTCCCTGCTTGTCGGTTTCTCCGAAGTGAATTGACTGTATATTTGTGGGCGAACGCGGCAGCCAATTGCGCACAGCAGTGTCCACAAACAGTCGTAGATTGAAAAGGACCAATTTATTACTGTTTTGTTTTGGAGGGATTATTATTAGGCGTGTGGAGTAAGGAAACTTGCCCAAGGTTTCGCCTTTCCAGGCAGGGCGAAACCTTGGGCAAGTTTCCTACCAACCTGCCCACGCTCTCCGCTCAGCGGGCTCTGACCTGCTTCACATCTCCCGCCTCGTCCCCCCCACCATTGGCGGGTGGGCCCTCTGCCACTGTCCCCACCTTCTGGAACTCCATCCCGCAGTCTCTCCGCCTCACCCCCTCCCTTGCCTCCTTCAAAACCCATCTCAAGACCCTCCTCTTCAACCATGCCAACCCCCCTGCTCTCCACCCTCCCCGATCCTGACTCCCAGCTTGGGTCTGAAACACTGATTGTCCAGCGCCTTGGAAGGTCCTCCTGACATGAAAGGCGCTATGCAAATGTAATTTTGTTGTTGTTCACAGAATATACTGTAAAGTGAATTGACTTTTTGTGAACGAAACATCTTATCACATCGTTGAGACGTAATACAGTGCAAGAGGTATACTTCGCAGAAATGGATGGATAACTGTCGGTGTGGGACAGGCCATGACTTTATGCACCGAAGACATAATGATGTAAATTAAATGTTTTCACAAATACCTGCTTTTTTGCGTGCTCATCAAGGTGGAAGATGTTAGGAGCAGAAACAGTATCATGTGGCTGGTCTGTGTGAAACTGCCAATTTGGTGACAGTTCAGTGTTATGAGCCCAGTTGGAAATGAGTTCAGCGAAAGGTTCAAGTTCTGGTAGATCCACTCAGTGTTTCTCCCTTTCCAGCTGATAAAACACGGACTCTGTGGAGGAAAATACCCCCAGTGGGGTTGGTATGAATAAAATGCCCTTGACGAAGGGGGAGTGAGACATGACTTGACAAAAGTTAAGATCAAAAACATTTGATATTCATCCATGTTCTCAACTCAAGGAGCCAAAGCACCAATCGGAGCATGCTCCTGCCTGCAGTTATGTCTGTCAACACAGAAGATAAAATTATCTTGGGGTGATAACCTGGGCTCAATCTGCATCGGGTCTCAGTGATATGCGGAGACAAGGAATACTCTACATGAAATGCCCAAATCATAAACAATAGTAATTTGACTAGAAATAGAAGAAAAATATTGGAATGTCACAAATCATTGTAGTTTACCTGTATAGTAGCATACTGTTAGTGATCTAAAGAGATAACCTGGCCATCAATAATCATTCCGTGATTTAACTTAATCATTACTTGATCATTAAATGTTGTTTTGGGTTAGGTCTGTTAATATGCAGTGTAACTAGACTTCCAAAAAGTGTTTGACTCTCGGGGCATTTCGCCCACCAATATACAGTCAATTCATTGTACAGTATATTCTGTGAAGCACTTTGAGTCGTCTAGAAGATATGAGAAGCGCTATATCAAATGCAAGGATTATTATTATTGACAAAGTACCTCGTGAAAGACTCCTTCAGAAACGGAGTTCACTGAGTTTCCGAATGGCGTTCACTGAGTATCAAGGGCAAGACATGGACATGGATTAAAATTGGCTGTCAAGGAAGGAAGCAGAAGGTTGTTGTTTGGGGAGCATTTCCATACATTTGGTATAGCGCCTCATCATGTCTTCGAGAAGTCTCAAATCACTACACAGAATATGGGTTAAAGTGAAATGACTATATTTTGTGGGCGAAAGATGTAGGCGGGATGCAATGAACTCCCAGTTTGGTTTGGATACTCTTAAAGCATGGGTTTCCGCATGCGGCAGATACCTGGCTAACCAAAAAAAAGTCACTATACCACAGATACTCTTAAGAAAATCAGTAAAGTGGATTGGAATGCAATGCTACAGACCACTCAGCCCACCACATGCAAAAATTGGCCCTGCCTCGATAACCAGATGGCACTTTAATTAAAATTAGTTTAAATAAAAAATATTTATAAGATGAAACTATACAGAGAATATTCAAGAGTAACCTCTTCCCTGTGTATAATTCAAGAGGTATTCATATCTGAGGATGACTTCAAGGACTTTATTAAAGTTATTTAAAAGTCAGGGCTGTATTAACATGAAAAACCCATCAAGAAACTTGTAAAAAAAATTTGCATTGGAAAGTTGTTTAGAAAATTAGATGCATCCCTCCAGGAGTATTGTAGTCATGCAAGAATTATTATTATTATTGGCACAAATTCAATTCTGAAACCAGCTCTGGCATGTGGTTTTGAGGGTAAGACTCAAAATCAAATCAATCCCACTTAAACTGGAAATGAATTACACTTTTAGAGTTGATTCAATGTGGTTTCTGTTTATAATTAAATGTAATACAACTGAAATTCTAAATGTAAAATTAAATTTACTTCAAATTGCATTGCACGGCTTTATGAGGGCACAGGGTCAAATATGATGATACTTACTGAACAGACCAGCATTGTGCTTTGTCCATCCACATCAATGGATTTGCTGGGCAAAGTGCACAGAGCAAAGTAACCTACTGTCTTTTAAACTAAATAAATAGCAGTAAAGCGGTTGGCTGTTTCTTGTTTCAGGACAATTCAGTTTGCATTTCTAAATTCTGTTTCATCTAAATTAAATGTCAATGGATTTATAGTAAGATCCACAGACGGAGGGGGTTCTTCCTTTTATCTTAACACTATGGAAAGTGTCAAATGGATTACATTTATTCGACAGTTATTTGGAAAATTGTGATTGCTGATAAATCCTACCATGCAAAAGAAACGATGAATGTAAACATCAATTCAGACTAAAGTGTAGCTAGCATTAAACCAATAAAGTCAATTTGTTAGGGCTGTCCTCAGCAATAAACTGTTCTGGCAGGATTTAGTCAACATTGGGTCAGGAAGGACGATCCTGACAAATGTTGGTTGAATGCCAGTATTATCTCCTAGTTTATATACTGTGACTCAGCATGCCTAGAGGTTCTTTAGAGTTCATATACACAGCTGCTGTAACAATACAGCTGTGTTTCGCATTTATAATTTGTTAGAGTAATGCATAGTTTTAAAATATTTTTAATTCTTATGTTCTTATATTTCTGTTAGAAAATAATATCTGGGGATACAATGTATAGGTTGGGATACGACATGTCAAGCGACTCCCAGGATGGTGGAAGGCGAACATCGATGGACCTTGGTCTTCTTTCACCTAGCAAATTCTTGTGTTCTTAAATAAAAATCAACTTTCACTGAAAACATTTTTGCTGTTGATTAATTTCTTGTATGTGGTGAGTTAACTGATCTCAGCCCGGATGGCTGCAAGAGTGTTACAATTGGCTTCAGAAATCTCCAGAGCAAAGATAGCAAAACTCATCCATTGATTTCTTCTGCAAAATAAATGTCAAGCAAAGACAGGTTGTCTTACTTGCCTGTGATGCCTCTCTGCTTGAATAGCTTTCCAATATTTACTGTCCAGGCGCATATGTGAAAAATGAGCTTTTGAGCAAGGGACTGAAGCTTAACCAGAATCGTATCCAAGCATGAGTTAGAACCTTCTTGAACAGAGGAGGAAATAAAGAGTTTATATATCATATATTTAAATGCATATATAGAATTAAATACTTCCATTAAATACCAATCATATGGTAGGGAAAGTACCTTAATTCTGTGAATACACTAAAATAGATATTTGCATATACCTGCAGATTTCAGGCAGATATCAGGAACTTGAATGCAAATAACTAAACTTTGCATACATTATAACTAAACTTTGCATCTATTAGAGTGAAATCAACAATGAGAGAAGCTAGACTTGTCAAAAATTGCATGTAAGTTGATTGTGCCTGCATGTAAACAGTTTTCACTGAAGCTGAATTTGTTTATGATTTAAAACAGTCAGGAATGGTTTGGACTTTAATCATTTTGTCTCCCTAAACAAAACTACAAAAGTGCTAATTCAGGAATTTGCATAGTCAACAATAACTGCAGGTAAAACTTCTTAAATATTGTATATTCAGCTACTGATCAGCAGAGAATTACACCAAAGGATAGAGAATATCACCTGTTACCCACAATCACAGTAGCCTTTATCAAGTGTTAACATAAAATATGTGATAATTTGGGATAATGCAATGTAACAGAATATTCCAGATACATAAAACATTTTCCCTAATATAAAATTACATCACAATTTACATTTACTTTCATTTCATGAAATTTCAATAAGTAACAAACTATATTATATAATATTATATATTATATTATGTTATTCCTAATATTTTACATTACATTCGTAGCCTTCGGGGACTGAGTAACTTACCAGATGCACAATTCAAAAAGAGAAGGGAGTTTCTCCCTGTGTCCTGACCAACAAACCCCTAAAATAAAATCAGACCCTCAATCCAGGGCTATTTGTGGGACATTGCTGTGTGCAAATTGGCCGCCGTGTTTCCCCACAAAATACACACAGTCATATCACTTCACAATATGTCCCGTGAAATGTGGTGAGACATCTTGATGATGGGACAAATTGATATATCAAATGCAAGAATTTTTATATTATTATCTTCAAATTAGTTCACGTGGATCAGCCAGGCTTTATCTGTGGGAAGCACTGCTGCAATAATATTCCACATCTGTTTACTGTTTTAGGATGTGGGTTTCAAAACTATTTAGTCATGGAAAAGGGCTTTGATGGAGGCAAAGATCTTCCTGCCATCATTGCTGGAATATGATGAGAGAAGTTGGAGCTGGACAAACTCCATCTCACAAACTCCCCATGAAAGGTTCACTCAATTCTCTGCACTCTCCCCCTTCCTCTCTGCACTCACTCACTCCCCTCCTCTCTGCACTCACTTCCCTCCTCTCTGCACTCACTCACCTCCTCTCTGCACTCACTCACCTCCTCTCTGCACTCACTCCCCTTCTCTCTGCACTCACTCACTCACTCACTCACTCACTCACTCACTCACTCCCCTCCTCTCTGCACTCACTCCCCTCTTCTCTGCACCCACTCACTCCCCTCCTCTATGCACTCACTCACTCCCCTCCACTCTGCACTCACTCCCCTCCTCTCTGCACTCACTCACTCCCCTCCTCTCTGCACTCACTCACTCCCCTCCTCTCTGCACTCACTCACTCCCCTCCTCTCTGCACTCACTCCCCTCTTCTCTGCACTCACTCCCCTCTTCTTTGCACTCACTCCCCTCCTCTCTGCACTCACTCACTCACTCACTCCCCTCCTCTCTGCACTCACTCCCCTCCTCTCTGCACTCACTCACTCCCCTCCTCTCTGCACTCACTCACTCACTCCCCTCCTCTCTGCACTCACTCACTCACTCCCCTCCTCTCTGCACTCACTCACTCCCCTCCTCTCTGCACTCACTCACTCCCCTCCTCTCTGCACTCACTCACTCCCCTCCTCTCTGCACTCACTCCCCTCCTCTCTGCACTCACTCACTCCCCTCTCTGCATTCACTCCCCTCCTCTCTGCACTCACTCCCCTCCTCTCTGCACTCACTCCCCTCCTCTCTGCACTCACTCACTCCCCTCCTCTCTGCACTCACTCCCCTCCTTTCTGCACTCACTCCCCTCCTCTTTGCACTCACTCCCCTCCTCTCTGCACTCACTCCCCTCCTCTCTGCACTCACTCACTCCCCTCCTCTCTGCACTCACTCACTCCCCTCCTCTCTGCACTCACTCACTCCCCTCCTCTCTGCACTCACTCACTCCCCTCCTCTCTGCACTCACTCCCCTCCTCTCTGCACTCACTCACTCCCCTCCTCTCTGCACTCACTCACTCCCCTCCTCTCTGCACTCACTCACTCCCCTCCTCTCTGCACTCACTCACTCCCCTCCTCTCTGCACTCACTCACTCCCCTCCTGTCTGCACTCACTCACTCCCCTCCTGTCTGCACTCACTCACTCCCCTCCTCTCTGCACTCACTCACTCCCCTCCTCTCTGCCCTCCTCCCCTCCTCTTTGCCCTCCCTCCCTCCCCTCTGCCCCCCCTCCCTCCCCTCTGCCCCCCTCCCCTCACTCCCCTCCCCCTCCCCCCCCCCTCGCTGCCCTGCAGCAGCGTCACTGAAGTGTCAATGACCAGGTTTGGCGTCCATAGCAACGCGCTGTGAGCTCCCGGAGTGCCCCCCCCACCCCCTCCCCCCCGCCCCCCCCCCCCCCCGCACCCCCCACCCCCCTGACCCGGGCCGGACCAGTCCCCAGAGCCGCCTCTGCCCTCAGTGAAGCACCAGCGCTGCCCCTTCGTGGCTGAGAGAACCTCTTTTTTTTTCCGCAAAGACATCCCTCTGCGACCGCAGGGCCCGGGATCCACCTCCAAAGATGTCTCGCATGAGCACCTCAGGGGCCGCGGGTCAGGCCCACAGGGTCGTGGATTCCTACGGTTCTGTGGTATTCACAGGTATTTATTATCACTGTTGGACCACAGTAATAATCCTTGCATTTAAGTTGCAAAAGCAGACCCCCACCCCATCCCCTCCACCCATCCTCCATCCCCACTCCATCCCTCCACCCCACCCCCACCATCCCATTCCCACCCCATCCCCACCCCCTCCACCCCACCCCTTCACCCCATCCCCCTCCCTCCCACCCCCATCCTCCATCCCCACCCCACCCCTCCAACCCCCCCACCCCACCCCTCCACCCCTCCACCCCATCACCCCCCCCATCCCATCCCTCCACCCCATCCCCACCCCATCCCCACCCCCCACCCCATCCTCCACCCCCACCCCACCCCTCCAACCCCCCACCCCACCCCTCCCTCCCTCCACCCCATCCCCCATCCCCACCCCCACCCCATCCCCATCCCACCCTCCACCCCACCCCATCCCCCCTCCACCCACCCCATCTCCACCCCCCACCCCATCCTCCATCCCCACCCCACCCCTCCAACCCCCCACCCCTTCACCCCATCCCCATCCCACCCTCCACCCCACCCCATCCCCCCTCCACCCACCCCATCCCCACCCACCCCATCCCACTCCCCTCCCTCCACCCCCACCCTCCACCCCACCCCATCCCCCCTCCACCCACCCCATCCCCACCCACCCCATCCCACTCCCCTCCCTCCACCCCCACCCTCCACCCCACCCCATCACCTCCCCACCCCCATCCCTCCCCCACCCTACACCCCACCCCTCCCCCACCCCATCCCCACCCCTCACCCCATCCCCACCCCTCCCTCCACCCCACCCTTATCCCGTCTTCGAGACGCCTCCGAGCGCAGCATCGCCGGATGTCCTGTCCGGTGAATTGACCGTAATATTTCGGGGGGGGGGGGAGTTGGGGGTGGGGGGGGGGTTACGTAGAGAGACTTCGAAAGGAGAACTTTTGTTTTTAATCCAGTTCCGTGTGGCCCTCTCCTGACTCACATTTGCTGACCTTTGGTCCCCGGTTCTGACTGGGTCAAGGAAGACATCAATTCTATTTACTCTTTTTTTTTGAGGGGGGGGGGGGGAAATCCCAGATTATGTACACTGTATTTTGTTCCTTAATGGTGCTGATCATTTACATTTTTTGGGTGGTTTTTTTTTAATACCCAGAGAAACGTATAGTTAACTGCTTAGAAATTCTTACGCTAATCCATTTTATGTCAGATCCAATGTCAGTTGTACTCACGGCTTTATAATCGGGAGCGTGTCCAATTCCCATTGAGGCCACACTGACAAACGTAGCTCGTAAGTGATCAGCGGCCACAGCGAGTTCAGTCACCCTGAAACAAACAGCCGTGACAGAACCACCGAGAGACCTTTCTGGAGAATGTGCTCGCGGCGACTCTAACCTCCACTTCACCCCTTTCCTGCTCCACCTCTGCTGACTTCTCCTTCCTCTCCTCTCACAGCCTGTCCCTCCACGTTAACTCCACCTCTCACATCCACGGGGCACTGTCTCGACCTGATAATTAGCCGGGACCTCACCAGCTCGGACATCACCATCACTGATAAAGTCATCTCAGACCATTAGTTAATCTCCCATAACTCCTCCATCCCACTCCCTGCAGACCAATCCACTTCTATCTCCTATTGCGTCTGAGAAAAAAATCCCCCCCACTCCTTCCTTGTCTCCAAAGAGGCATCTGATCTGATGCCCCTCCCGTAAAGACCTTACTTCCTCGGTCACTCTTCTCCACAGCTCCCCCCTGTTATCCTTGACAGCCTTGTCCTCACCACCTCCCGGACTGCATCCTACTCCTGCAAGACCCCCTGGTACACCAGCCACCTTAGCTCCCTCAAGTCACCAGTGTGTGCCCCGGCATTGGGCTCAAACCTAATCGCTAGAGCTGTCTGGAGCACATCAAACCCCACCGCTCCACTCTCACCTCAATTAAATGGTCTTTCTACTCCAAGGATTCAATATCCTTCCAATCCTGGAGGCCAAGGACAACCCAAGGCCCCTGTTCTCCACCACAAGCCAACTCCTCCATCTACCTTTCCATGCTTCACCCATCCTCTCCTCTTACTCCAAATGTTAGGAGGTTATGCATTTCCTTGAGTCCAAAATTAAGGGGATCTATTCTGCTACCTCTGCCACTGCCACTGCTTTCCCACCTTTCTCTCTTCCTCCGGCATCCAACTATCCCTCCTTCCACACTTTTGATCCCATCTCCCCCTCATCCTTCACCTCCATAATTTCCCAAATGAAGCTAAGCACCTGCTCCCTTGACCCCGTCCTTACCTCTCCTTAACTCCCAGCTCCATCTCCTACTAATAGACACTGTAACCTCTCTCTGGTACCCTTCCCGTCTTCTTAGAAACAGTTGTCATCATCCACACACTCAAAAAAATCCCTCTCTGTTCTTTAACTACTGTCCCATCTCCAACCCTCCAAGGTCCTGGAATGAGTTGTTGCTTCACTCTTTCCTCTCGCCACTCCCTCTATGAATCCCTTCAATCTGGTTTCTGTGCTGCCCACAGCACGGAGACAGTCTCATTCAATATTACAAATTACATTTTGTTCATCTGTGACAAGTTTCTGTCTCAAGCTTCTTGATTTCTCTGCCACTTTTGACCCTGTTGAGCACTATTTTTCTCCACTATCTCTCCTCAGCTCCACCTTCATGGCTCTGTCCTTGTCCGGTGTCACTCTGACCTTTCCCATCTTCTTTGTCTTTCCACTTTGTGTCTGCTAACAGCTTCTCCTCCAGCCCTAGCACTGTGACACGTTCCTTAGGGCCCTGTTCTTGGTCCTCTCCTCTTTAATATTTACATTCAGTGATATCACCCCACAGGCATGGGGTTAACTTCCACATGTATGTGGATGTCATCCACCTATATCTCTCTGCCTACACCCTCGATTCCATGACCACTGCAGTCCTGATGTATTGTCTGTCAGACATCAAGTTCTGGATGAGAGTCAACTTTCTCTAGTTGAATGTCGACAAGACAGAGGACACTCTCATCAATGCCTCCTCACCTCAGGTACTGACAGCATTGCTATTCATGGATGCACACTCCACCTCACCGAGACACTACAGAATCTTGGTGTCCATTAAATCACACATGATCCCGTTCTGCCTTCTCCCACCTCCGTAACATTGCCCGCCTCTGCCATTACCTCTCCGCTCAGGCGACTGAAACCCTCATCTATGCTTTCATTACTTCCAGACTCAACTATACCATCTCCCTGCTCATCAGACTTCCCAACTCTTCCCTCCATAAACTGCAGATTATTTAGAACTTTGCAGCTCGTGTCCTCCCCCGCACCAAGCTCCGTGAGCTGATCACCCATATCCTTTTTTTTTCTTTCTTTCCTCCTTTAATTTTATCCTTTTCGTCCCTCTCCAATTGTTGAAATTTCTCTGCATTTCTCTATAAATGTAAACATTAGCCTAACATTTGTGTACTAATCAATATTCCTCCCTGGTTTCATTTTCATTAGACTGTATTTTTTTTCTTTTCCCAGGACCTGATAGCAAAAGTGATTTCAGAACAAAGCACTCTGACTTTCCTCACTACATTGGGGAGACAAGTGCAGCTTATGAAGGAACTGGAGATTTGAGCTACTTGTACCGTTCTGCCACAGGAACTTCACCCATGAGACCCAGACACACCTATGTGGGAGAGATTGGCTGGGGATTGCCTCTAGTTTACGAACTAAACAAAGCAAATCTCCTAAGTAACATGCAAATCAAGGTACACAGTTCGCCAATTATTAAAATGTGTAAAAGTCACTTTTTTATAATAATTATGATGCATTTACATTTGTTACAGTAACTAACATTGAAATGCTGTAAAGGACTCTACAGGGAATTGCACTCACTTCAAGTGAATTTATATTTGTGGTAAATGCAGTAGCTATTATGTGCACAACATGGTCCCAGAAATAGCCATGAGGTGAATGACCAATTAATCCACAGAATTATTGACAAGGACATCACAGGAAACTTATTTTTGAAAAGTGTCATGGAATCTTTGATATCTACCTGAACAGATAGACATGAGGTCAGTTTTTGCTTATCTTATCTGAAGGACAGTACATACCTTATGATGAGGCAGCCCTTCAGTATGTTTTCTTTCTATCGGGGGAAAATGGACAACGTGATGTGGTAATTAACATTGGCAATAATTATATCATCATTGTTGATTCACCACCCCCCTAGCCCATGGATAATGATACCACTTGCTGTGGGCATGACTGACATTAACTAACTAACTGACTAACTCAGCATGGAGCACAGAAGTCACTGGGAACATGCATCAGGTCAGGCAGCATCTATGAAGAGAGGAAAATGAGTTTAGGTTTCTAAACTTTCGGCAGAACTGGGGGATGTTGGAAGGGAACACAAGCACAAAAGGGGGCGGGAATGAAAAAGGGGCGAGGAATGAAAAAGGAAACATTTTTAGATGGAGGACAGAAGATGAGGTCAGAGGTGTTGATGGTGAAAGACAAAACAACAACAAAATTACATTTGTATACCACCTTTAACGTTGGGAGGCCACCCCAAGGCACTGGACAGACAGAGTTTCGGATCCGAGCTGGGGGTCGGGGAGGGTGGAGGGCAGGGGGAGAAGCAGGGAAATCGAAAGCACAGTCGAAGAGGAGGTTCTTGAGATAGGTCTTGAAGAAGGCAAGGGAGGGGGCGAGGCAGAGAGACTGCAGGATGGAGTTCCAGAGGGTGGGGGCAGAGTGGCAGAAGGCCAATAGTGGGGCAAGCGAGGCGGGGGGTAGAAGGTCACAGAGGTATGGAGGAGCAAGTCCATGGAGGGGTTTGAAGGTGAGGACCAGGATCTTGAACTGTAAGCTCTGTGTGATGGGAAGCCAGTGGAGTTGGGCAAGGATGGGGGTGATAGGGTCACGGAGCCTAGTGCGAGAGAGGACGCGGGCTGCAGACTTCTAGATGATCTGCAGCCTGTGGAGGGAATAGAAAAGGCGAACAGATGCGGCTAAGAACCAGAGGATGTGTTAATCGTTATAGGAAAGGGGAGGGGTTGGGTAGGGGGACGCAAGGCTGAGAGAAGATGGCAGCTGTGGTTAAGGTCTGAAGTGGTTGAAATCAATGTTGAGGCCAGAGGGCTGTAAAGTGCTTAGGTGGATGAAGTGCTGTTCTTTGAGCTTGTGTTGAACTTCCTGGTATTCCTGGTCTGTTTGACCTAAACTGCAGACTTTTGTAAATATGCATTGGATATTTCTGTCTTTATTAATTGACAGCCAGTTCAAGGTTTATGTATCATGTTGCACCAGGTATATTTATAACTTCTGCAGCTCTTGTAATAAAAAGGAAAAAAAATGCATTTTGAAAACACCCTTTTCCCATTAAAACTTCTCAAAGTGTTGAACAGTAATTACTGTCAAGTGTACTGTTTTGTGGGCAGATTGATAGAGTATAAATAGCTTCTGACGAGACATCATTTAGCTTGGGTTCAAAATATTAAAGCAGATTGAACATTTTGAGTGGCATCTTTAGGAGGCAGCTTCATGTTATAGAGCCAGCTTCAAGAGCTGATTGCATGAGAGAACACAAACATCTTGACTTTCTTTTAAATCTCATTGTAATGCAACCCATCTCTCCAGAGAGTTAAGGGAGAAATTCTGAAATATATTGAAACAGCATTCTCAGTATTACTAATCATTACTGGAAGGCTCTTAACGTGTGCGGATGCCTCGTTGGTTTTTTAAAAGATAGCCCCTTCAGGACTTCCATACCTTTAGGGTCTTGACCTAAGCATGCTATAAGCTCAGTTTGTCCCAATTAGAGTCTTCTTAAGAAGATTGAACTGCTGAAACAAGATGAAATCTTGCACATTGTTTCACTTCTAGCCTGGATGAAAGCCAATAAAACACAGTTTATTCTGTCTAGAAGTACTTTCAAGTACATCTATCTTTTCATATATTTTCCTTTCTTCTACAAATTCTTATTCTGTTGAAGAAAGAGCTGGCGTCTTGGGTCCTATGCTTTATTCTCAAGAGATACAACCCATTTTGTAAGAACGTGGCTGAGGTTCATCAACATTTATCTCTGTGTTCCAGTCAATGATGCTTCAAATGAGCCGCTCCCCGTTCGCCCACCAACCACTATATTTGCACAAACCAAGCGTCTTTCATTGTATTCAAGAGAGTTAACTGATAATTTTAACATTAGATCTTTTACAAACATTAAGGTGTTTTTTCACCTCTCTCACTGCAGTAAATTCATGCAAACGGTATTCTGCCTTCAGTGAGTAATTCAGAAATGAGTGGAATGAATAAATAATAGCAGAGTATATAATGCAAATATTGTAAAATAACTACAATACAAAATTACATTTGTATAGCACCTTCCACATCGGGAGGATGTCCCAAGGCACTGTTCAAACTTTAGCATTTCAACCAATTAAATACAAATGCTTGGGATGATGATAATAATAATAATAATCCTCATTTGATATAGCGCCTTATCACGTCGTCGATTCCATTCCCCTTTGTCTGGTGCTGCCACCAGTGAGAGTTATGGATTATAACCTCACACTTATTGTTGGAGTTAAAAAAAATGAGTCAATGGGTTATGTATGCCAATTATAAATTATAAGTTTCTCAACTAACCGTATCTTCTGTTACATAAATAGTGCATGTAATTGGCAAAACCGTTGTGCTGTAGGAAATGCTGAAGTGCAGGTGGAGGAGCACCAGAATTTTTAAGCCTGATTTCCAGGAGCGGCTGAGAGGGCATTAATGGACAGTGTAACAGCAAATAAGGGGGATGCTTTTGTGGCCAAAAGACAAATCCCTACCATGTCGGTGAGGAAAAGGGTGTAAGGTGATGTTTTACCCCTATGTGAAACCTGTCACCATGTTAGGAGAGATGAAGAAGAGGCATACTAAAAATATAACAATGTAAGCGGAGTCCTGTAGCTCAGTGGTTAGAGCATTTGCCTCGCAAGCGAGAGACTTGGGTTTGATCCCCAGCAGGGCGAAACGTTGGGCAAGTTTACTTACTCCACATGCCTGATAATAATTCTTCAAGAAAAAAAGAATAATTTGGTCAATCAATCCACAACTGTTTGTGGGACACTGCTGTGCACAATTGGCTGCTGTGTTTTGCCCACAAAATATACAGTCAATTCACTTTACAGTATGTTCTATGAAGTGCTTTGAGACATCTAGAAGAGGTGAAAAGTGTTATATAAAATGTAACAGGATATACTGCAAAAGGATGTTACTGTATTTTGTGGGCGAATATAAATCTGTAAGAGTACGTGGCACAAAGTGATATACTTACCCATTCACTATCTGTGTGAAATCAAATTTCCGTGTGTTTAAAATATGCAGCACTCTTACATGAAACTCACTCTATGGCCATGATGACCCAAACAAATTTGGCAATCATCTCTTGGGTCCCTTCAAATCTACTGACGATGTGAAGCACTGACGTGTATGTACGTGTAGCACTTCCATCATTGAAATGTGAACAAAATGCATTGCTCTGCTATGTGTAATGCCCATTGAATGCACGTAAATGATGCTTCCACGAAGAATGGGCAGTAGATGAATGAAAGGCGTCAGTGGTGTTTGCTGTACCTTGGCAAATGTAAGCTCAATAATAGTCATTGTGCAACCAAGCTTCAAAACATAGCCAAATAGTTTTCATAAATAACGTAAATATCCTTGAAGCTAAAATAATTGTTGTCAAAAGCAGCTCATAATGGAACACTGCACAACAAAGTTATTATTTTGTCCATAACCTAAACTGGCATGTAATAACCAGAGTAGAAGACAAACAGCATCCACCCCCTCTTGCCCGGCTGACCTTTGAGTCTCGACAACACAGCTCCAGGGGAGGGAAGCTTTAGTGCCTATGTTTTACCAGGAAAGTTTGGAGGGAATGTGGTTGCTGAGTTAGGAGAAGACACCAACCATACTGGAGAGTATGGTAATGTTGAGTCAGTATTGTAGTCAACATTACCATACTGGCCAGTACGGTTGGTGTCTGAATGTGAAAAATATCAAAAGAAAATACAGGTATTATGTTACACTCAGCATGCTGTTAAATGTACATGGATGTGTTGAATAATTTTACTATATTCAGATTGTGATGCTACCACAGGAACCAGCTAATGCTGGTGTCCAGGACACGCGGCAGCAGCTCACAGAGCCTGCCTCACCCGCCTATAGAACAAGATGCTCACACTATCAGAAGAATACTGTGACAGTAAAATAGATGCACAAAGATGGTGTAGAAGTAGGTGAAGAGTGAGCCACGTTGCCCACTGGTGAAGGTTGTCAGTTCATCGGGTAGTGGAGACGACCAGGAGAACTCAACTCTCTGAACTAAACAGGAAGCAGATTTTGATGTTCATGCAATGAAAAGGCCATTTTTGCAATATGCAAGGTCACCAACGTGCAAGGTCAGCCATGTGCTGCAAGGTCACTCTGAGGAAGCTTTCTGAAAGTCCAAATAAAGGTCCAGAGGGTGGATCAAGCTCTGAGAATTTTGTTCCTATTGGCAATTATTAGCTCATGGAAATGGAGCTCTCTGAACAGACCTCCACAATAGGAACTAAAATGTGAGTTGCAACAAGAGTTAATTCCAGCAAAATAATAATATAGAATATTCCTTGCATTTGATATAGCACCTTATCATGTCTTTGGGATGTCTCAAAGCGTTTCATGGGATACATTGTAAAATGTAGTGACTGTGTGTTTGGTGGGCAGCCAATTACGAAGAGCAGTGTCCCACAAACACTCGTGGGGAACTGGCCTACAGCCCAGCCAACTCAGCTCCAAGAAGTCCATGGCTACCTCTTCTCCAAGGATGACAGTCAAAGAGGGGAGCAGTGACACAGCACCTAAACTCACAGCATGTTTTTAGGTTGACGAGACAAAACTATACAGAATAGGTCAGCAATCTCAATTCTGCTGAAGATAATAAGTTATGTTTTAAACAAGTTATAACTTTATGGTCACAAATAATAATCATAATAATTTTGGAGGGGCAATAAGGCCTCCAAAAAAATGATTTGGCCACTCAATCCATGACTGTGGGACACTGCTGTGCGCAATCGGTTGCCACATTTCGCCCTCAAAATATGCAGTCAATTCACTTGAGAGTATATTCCGTGAAGCACTTTGAGACGTCTCACTGATGTGATAGGGCGCTATATCAAAAGCAAGGTTTATCATCAACAAATATTAATAACAATTTTTAGAATAACTAATAATATGTTTATTCTTTATATGTGATGGATAAATGAGCTCTTTCTCAGATTGGGCACTACGTTTTAGTAGATCAATGTTTATAAACAAAAGGGACTTCCAGCATGTTAGGTAATGAGCTCCAGTCATATTTGCCTGCAAGCATCCTGCTAATCAATCTTTCTCACTCAGAGTAGCGATCACTCACACCCATTTCAGTCTTTTCAACCACAGCTTGTCATAGGATTTAATGGAGACCTATGTTGATGTGGTTAGGAATTATAACTTTCGTAGTAGAATCATAATAGTGACAGCACCGAGGAAACCATTCAGCCCTGTGTGCCGGTGCTGATAACTGAAGAGTTGTTTGACATGGAGGTTGAACCCATGACCCTGAGATTATGCTTTGCAGACAGTGTAATGCCCATGGGTTCCAAGCAATGGAAAACTGCTTTGATCAAAGATCGGTTTGGATGAAAAAGATCCTTCAGCCCATCTGATCTCATCTTAATAGAACACCCACCATACCATACCCCATCGCTGCATCGAGCTGGTTTTTATGCGCGTCCACTGTTCTGGCCTCAACTACGCTTCCTAGCAAACTGTTTCAGTCATTAATTACCCTGTGAATGAAGAAAAACCTTTTGGTATTTGTCTTGAAATTGTGTCCACATGTTCTTGCTTTGCTCCATTCTAAAGTATTATTTTAGGTATATTTTTTCAATCAAGTATAAAATCTTACACACCTCTCTAAGTTGTCTTCTCTCATGACTTAATACAGTAAAGACACCCTCTATCAGAGCTCCGATTTGTATAAGTAACTTATTACTGGCCTTTCAGCATTCATTTCTGAGAAGCAGCTCTATCAGCATATTCTATATTATAAATGATCCACTCTTGATGCCTTTCAAGGCCTTCAAAACAATTTGCAATAAAAAGATGCACATATACATGTACAATGCAGTCACAAAGTATAGAATATCAACTTTTAGATGAAAAAGTTTCCGTTGGTGTCACTACTGCTACAGCATTCATTGAGTTAAAATAGACTTTTCTGTTCAAGTATGCCATCAGGTTTCAAGTTGGTGTACAAATTCCTGCATGTAAACAGTCCATGGAATCATGGAAATCCAGTAGTTATTTGAAAATTGTTTGCTGTCAATTTAATGGTGGATTTTTTTCATGAATATAATGTATTTGACTGGCTTACCATACTGATAAATCGATGAATAGCTGAGCACACGACCAATTACACAATGCTACCTATAATAATACCTTGGAAGGAATTAGATGCATGACAATTCCTCAAGATGCAGGGGTGTACTTAGGTTATGCCATGTTTTAATCTCATTACTGAGAAGATCACAAAGTTCAGTGACAGTTTCCTTTGGGACCTTCAAAGCATTGATTCTTTGTTAGGTCTAATGTTCTGATGGAACAGCTGCCTCTGAGTAATTCTGCCCCATTCACTCAATCATCTGTGTTGCTTTCCTTCCATATGAGTTTAGGAATCTTATTTTCCCTGCTGCTCCTTAAAAGCAAAAATTCTGTGTAACCTGCAGCATCAGAGTGTTGTATACACCTACTTTAGCACAAAGGTATTTAACAATCACACTTAGTCTCAACACAACGTGGAGTCCTGTAGCTCAGTGGTTAGAGCACTCGCTTTGCAAGCGAGAGACCTGAGTTCAATCCAGGCAGAGGGCGAAACCTTGGGCAAGTTTCCTTACCCCACACACCTAATAATAATCCCTCCAAAACAAAACAATAATAAATTGGTCACTTTCAGTCTAGGACTGTCTGTGGGACATTGCTGTGCGCAATTGGCTGCCGCGTTCGCCCACAAATATACAGTCAATTCACTTTACAGTGTGTTCTGTGAAGCGCTTTGGGACGTCTAGAAGACGTGAAAAGCGCTATATCAAATGCAAGGATTATTATTATTATAAATTATGCCACTGCATGAATCAATAAAATAATAATTTTTCAGAGTAAATTTTAAACATTTTATAACAAATGGACAGGTTCAAAAACAAATCACATGTGTATAGCGCCTCTCATGTTGGGAGGACATTCCAAGGCACTGAAAATTCAGGGGTTTGGACCTGAGCAGGGGTTTGGGATCAGGGTTTGGTGGAGGGCAGGGAGGGTAGGATGGAGAGGGGCCGAATGCCCGGTTGAGACGAGGGTCTTGAGACGTGCCTTGAAGGAAGCAAGGGAGGGAGCAAGACATTCGGTCTGTGGGTTACAGGTCTAAAGGGCGGGGAATATTTACCCTGCCAAAAGTTGGCGAAACTAACTTGTCTGTAGTAAATTTAGCAGATGTAGAATTTTAACCAGAAAATCAATTAATGCGCTGTCCATTACATTTGAGAGATAAATTGGTAGATTTCAAAAGTCTATTGTTGACAGGGTGGAATATAATGTGTGGAATTGAGACCACTTTTAGTGCCAAGTTTCAAACCTCTACATTTGCCCACAAAATACACTGTCAATTTACTTTACAATATATTCTGTGAAGCTTTTCAACCACATGATAAGGTGCTATATCAAATACAAGGATTAATAATTTATTATTATTATATCACAGCAAGGGCATTAACTTTCATGCCCTTGCGTGGATTCCTGCAGCTTAGTGGATAGAGCTCTCGCCTCTCAAGCGAGAGACCTGGGTTCGAATCCTGGCAGTGCGAAAAGGTGAGCAAGTTTCCTTCCTCCACATGCCTCTGTTTACCTAGCAGTAAATAGGAACCAGGTTGTTAGTGGATAGGGGGATTGCCTTTCTGGGGATAATATTTTCTTTAAAAAAATAATAATAAATTGGTCACTCAATCCACAACTGTTTGAGGGACACTGCTATGCACAATTGGCTGCCACGTTTTGCCCACAAAATATACAGTCAATTCGCTTTACAGCATATTCTGTGAAGCACTTTGAGACATCTCGAAGACAAGCAAGGCGCAAAATCAAATGTAAGGATTATTATTATAATTATTGTTCGAGGGGTCACAAGATGCATTATTTAGGAGCTCGCATAGCTCTGGTGAGTTTGAAGTGTAACACAAGTTCAGTTTTCACCCATTCTCTTTTTGTTTGTCACTTTCAGAAAGAAATGGCCCGCAAATACGCTCACGACAGATTTGGCCATAGGTTTCAAAATCCAAGGTTTGTGTTTGCAAAGATCGTGATAATGATTCTGTGTTGATCAGGATGAAACAAATCTAAGTAATAACATGCGTTTATCAGACATGTGCAAGGAATAGTGGTGAGCTACTTAACTCCTGGGTATAGACAGGTCAGATCAAGGGGTGTATTGGGAGTCATTTAATTTGATGTTTGCTCTGGGTAACTAGGAGATCTGTTCTGCTTATACTGTGGTCCCATTTTAGCAAATGCTGGTGAAATAGCACATTCAACCACTATGCCCCGCAACTCTGGAACACTTTCCCTCAGTCCATCCGTCTTGCCCCCTCTCTCCCCTTTTTCAAGTTCCGCCTGAAAACCTTCCTCTTCGACCATGCTTACAGTCCCCCGCCTTTTTCCTTGATTTTTTTGTTAGTCAGCTGGTAAAAAACATGTAGAAACCCGTCACCATGCTTAAGAGTATCCAAAGTAGACTGAGAGTTCCACATAAGGGTGCCACATGGAAATTTCCCTCTCCTACACCACATTTTCCCCTGTTCCATACATTGTTTAAAACTCCCTTCAATTTGCATCAAGCACTTTTTCCTCCAAAGTTCTTTACATGGTACCATTCTTTTTTATACGACCACTCAAAGCAGTGTTGTCGAAAGGACGCTGTAACTTAATTCATTCTGACAGTCACATTGCAGTCATAATGTGAGAACATTCGATTGGATGCGGTGACTCTTGAGAAAATGAGTTGGATTGATGCCGATGTGGTGGTGAATTTATTTTTGCCAAGGAAGAAACTGAAGAAAACATATCCGTTATCTGCTGCAACACTTGTTCACTCAGCATAGAGATCCTGAAAAGGAGCTGAGAACAAATCATCCTTTCATCGTTTTAGCTTGGGAGGTGCTGGTCAAAGCAGCTTAGATCAGCTCTAAGTATATCTGGCATTTATCAGCTCAGGTAACAAATCACCTCAACCCAGCCTCCACTTAGGGTTGTGTTATACAAACACAATGTGCTTTAGATCCTGAATGGATTCCATATTTGAGTCAATGTGTTAATTGCTCCAGAATGTTTTTGAATTCTATTTGGCCCATAGAGTACACAGTCAATCCACTTTACAGTATGTTCTGTGAAGCGCTTTGAGACGTCTCGAGGACATGATAAAGCGCTATATCAAATGCGAAGATTATTATTATTATTTAAGAACCTTGTAGAGAAAGGATTTGTGTCAGAAGATTGGAGGGTGGCCAATGTAATACATTTATTTGAAAAGCAAAATGTAGGAGTTAAGAGCATCTTCTCAGGCTGGCAAGAGGTAGGAAATTGTGCTCTGCAGAGATTTGTGTTGGGAATGCTGCTATTTACCATATAAATAGAGGATTTGGATTCAGGTATATAAGGTGTGGTGTCAAAATTTACAAATGACACCAAACTAGGGATGAGGTAAATAGTGTAGAGGATTGCAGAATATTGCAGGATGACATAAACAGCCTTAGTAAAATGGGCAGACAGATGGCAAATGAAGTATAGTGTAGGAAAATGTGAAGTATTTCACTTTGGCAGGAAAAAAAAGAAGCCATTTATAGTCTAGATGGAAGGAACCAAAGAAGAATAGAGGAACAAAGACATCTGGAGATTCAGTTTCACGAATCTATAAAAGTAGCTGCACAACATTTTATAGGGTTATAAAAAGGCCGCTTGTCTTTCTATCCAGAGGAGTAGTGTATAAAAGTGAGAAGGTTAAGTCGAATTTGTACAAAACCTTGGTTAAACCATATTTAATCTACTTTGTCCAATTCTGGTTGTTTCACCACAAGAATCATATAGCAGTGATGGAAAGAGTATAAGTGGGTTTATGAGGATCATGGCAGGTTACTACTATCAGAATAGACTCGATGGGCTAGGCCTGTTAGCACTAGAAAAGAGATGTTTAAAAGGGGACCTAATTGAGGTGTTTAAAATTATCAAAGGGTTCAATCAGGTTAGCATAAATAGGCTGTTTCCACTGTTTGGGAAGTTGTAACCAGGGGACGCAAATAGAAGATAGCAACTATGGGATCTAAAAGAGAATTTAGGAGGAACTATTTCACTACTTCAGAGGGACTGAGATTATGAAACATGCTGCCTGCAGTGGTGATTGAATCACGTAGTGTAGATGCATCCAACAACAACAAAATTATATTTATAGAGCGTCTTTCATGTCAGGACAATGTCCCGAAGACGTCAAGAAGAAGCTAGATCTTCACATGAGAAAGAGGGGAATAGAAGTGTATGAGAGCAAGTAAAGAATGGGTAGAGACTCGTGTGGAGTATAAACACTGGAATGGACTGGTTGGGTCGAGTGATTTGTTTCTGTGCTGAACAATCTTTGTGAAGAACCGTGGTTCACTGCGTGACAAATACATGCTGTGCAAACTTATAAATGAGAAACATAATAAAGCAACAAAAGGGCACAAAATAAGGAGAGGACTAACAGTGATCGATTCTTAGCCTTGACGAGTAACAAAAACTGATGATCAGTAAAATGGAAATTCCCGTGTTCAGGAATGGAACGTGCACTCTCTTACCAGAGGGACACATCCTGTTTACCCAATTCCAGAAAGTATTAGGTGCAGATTGGACCCCAGAATGTGCGTTGAGTTATTGCTGGAGTTTAACCGGCATCGGATGTTTGCTTTAAGAAGTAAGATGGGCTACTAGCTGGATGAGAAACAGACAGTCCCCCAGGTGCACCCTAATGCTTTCAGCTCAGCCGTATGAAATTTCTTCCCACATCCATATCCATTTGGACCAGACGTTGTAGGTTTCCTGATATTCATTGCTCTGAGCTCTGTACCACTTCAATAACCTGTTGAAAGTCTATCAGCTCTCCATAGCCTATCCACTTGCCATGCTGTGGAATGAGCAGAACAAGATAAAAGTAGTTGAAGGAGGATCAGTATGGTTCTGTTTTACTCCCCCTCTAATGAGATTTTCGTTTCGTTGAATGCAAACAATGTTCAGTGAATTTATTCAGTAGCTGAGACGTAGAGTGCATATAACAAGGAAAATATAAAATGGCATTTTCAAACCCAAATAGGATTTACAAGTATATCCCCCGTTTCTGGGATTAAATTCAATTTATTTTGGTGTCTTGTGAATCATTTTTGTTCAATAAACAGCTGCCGATGGTAAAATAAAGGTCAGGGGGATACGTATTGTATAAATACACTATTCTCCTTTTCGAAGTGTAACTTTCACTTTCATTGAATAAACATTAGATGAAAATTCGCGCTCGTCTGGCATTCAGAGCATTTGTCAACTTTGTCTTGTAGCTTAGAATAATGCAGCTTGATTTAAGAAAAGCCTGTTTAAAAAAAGTAAAAAATTAGCCATTGAAATTATATACTTTACTTTTTTTCTCTTTGTTATTAGGACATCAGCTCCAGCTTATCTTGATCAGTTAAAGGGATCCAGAGGTTATTTGGCTTGGCCAAATAGAGTACTTCTTAGGAACACATAAATGGAAGACATCAGACGGAGGGAACTCCAGTTTACCTAGTACAGGTATGTACATTTGTTCTTACTGCAATATGACTGACTCGTCTTTGAAATACACTGAGCAGAAGCCCAACATTGATGCTAAGATAATAATGTGGACAAAAAACATAACATAAGAAATCTTGGATGAAAAAAACCCAAGGTCCATCTAGTTTGCCTTCCACTTTCCTGGAGGTCGCATGCACATATGCCCCGAACTACCTATGTACTACATCCCATAATGTTATTTCCTAAATGAAAACTATCAAATCTGTGGAGGGATTAATATTTCCTGCTTCAACCGTCTCCTTGGGGAGCCTGTTCCACAGGTTTACTATCCACTACCAAGGAAGAATTGCAGAGCGATCCGTCATCCAATGTTATGTCTGTGCTTTTCTAAAAGGCTTCTTTGAGAGCAATATACACCGAGGGTTTGGGAACAGATTCCCTGTGTGACCCACTGGTGCTTTGCTCTATCTTAGAAATAGAATTTGAGAATGTTGTAGCACAGAAACAGGCCATTCAGCCCATCAAGTCTGAATGGGTGTTTTTCTTCCACATGAACCAATCTAATTTATTCTCACCATCCTGCTCATCCTCCCGATGTGAAAGGCGCTATATAAATGTAACTTCTTGTTGTTGCTCCCCTCAATCTTTAATATTATTTTTTCAAGCAGCTGTCAAGTTCTCAACAATGTTACGTGTCAGAGAATTTCCCATTTCAACCAACCTCTGTGTAAAGAAATGTTTTCTGAACTAACAGAATTATTTTCCCAACCGTTTCTATGATTTATAATTATTGCAAATGATATAGCACCTCATCACGTCACCGAGATGTCTCAAAGTGCTGCACAGGATACACTGAAAAGTGTTATGACTGTGTGTATTCCGTGGATGAATGCAGGAACCAATTTGTGCATAGCAATTTCCCACAAACAGCCATGGAGCAAGTGATCAATTTATTTGGGGGATTTTTGTTCAGAACTTCAGGCTGATGAACTCCCTTTTCTTGCTGAATAGTGTCATGGCATCTTTAACATCCATCTGAACAAATAAATAAAACAAATACATCTGAGTGACAGCACTTCTAACAATGCTGTAAACCCCAAGCTATTTTTCTATCAGCCTAGACTATACGTGTTCCAAGTCCCAAATTGTGGCTTGAACTCACAACCTTCTGACTCAGAGAACGTGTTAACCTGAAATAGATTCTAAAATTAAATGCAAGAATTTTTGTGTTTTAAAGCAAGTAAAGTTTGGTCACTCAATCTGCAACTGTTTGTGGGACACTGCTGTGCGCAACTGGCTGCTGTTTTTTGCTCCACAAAATATATGGTCAATTCACATTATAGCATATTCTATGAAGCGCTTTGAGACGTCTCAATGACGTGATAAGGAGCTACTATTATTATAATAATATAAGGAATATTATTATTGTTTGATGGCACACCAAACAATAATCAGTAGCAATATGCACACATCTTGAAACATAGTACCTTTTAATTTACAGTAAATTTCAGAGTAGTGTAAAATTAGGGCAATGACTGAAACAGAAGGCATCAGATACCCAAAATTCCAGCCAGTCTCAGCTACAAGGTCATTTTCTCTTTTAAAATGCAAACTTGTGCATCATTGTAGAAAATTCTTAAATCCCATCTCAATTTGGAAGTCAGTTTTACGCACCTCTTAAAAAGAAGCAACTTCCAAATTAGGGCTGAATTTAAGAAGATTTTCACAATCTACTCTCTTAAATTTTTCAGACAAAGCTGCCTCACAGGCTGAGACTAAATGGAATTTCGCACCTCAATTTTTAATGACGAGCCCAGCCGAGGACTCAATCTTTTATATTATTTTTAATAAGGTCGAGTATTGTTCAAGGCCTGTTTTTCAGGATTTTCTAAAAACAAATGTAGTACTTGATTCACTAGTTTTCAATTTAACTCATCTACTCTTTGGATAATGGAAATTTTGGTCAAATAAGCCTCATGCTCACAGGTTGTGGCTGAGAGACCATCTGGGTGGATTAGCAAACAGTTTTAAGAAGATAAAATTAACTGATTGCCTTCCACTGTAATTTCTAACACAAGACTAAAAATTCCCTACTGCGTCAATGTTCATAACACTCACAAAAAGACATAATCATAATTTACTATAATAAGTGGATGCAACCATCTTAAATACCAGGCCCGAGCAAGCACTTGATCCATATAAATTATATTTTTAGTACAAATTACATTTATTTGGATTTTACGTTCAGATCCTATGATTTACAATATATCCTGTGAAGCTCTTTGAGACTTCCTCGAAACGTAAAAGGCTGCATATCAAATACAAGGATTATTATTATTCAAGCTCAAAATTCATACACTATACTACCCAGAATCTCCACATTGCGTCAGGTCATTATTCTCTGTTTCAAAAACCAAAACCACCGAAAACTCTAAATTTGCTGCAACTATAGTTATAAGCAATTATTGTGGAGTCCTGTAGCTCAGTGGTTAGAGCATTTTCCTCACAAGCAGGAGCCCTGGGCTTGATTCCAGGTAGTCGATTGTCAGATCGCTTTTTCCCCGGGGGTAATATTCCTTCAAAAATAAAACAAAAACAACAATAATATATTGATCACTTTATTCCACAGCTGTCTGTGGGACACTGCTGTGTGCAATTGGCTGCCGCGTTTCACCCACAAAATATACAGTCAATTAACTTTACAGTATATTCTGTGAAGCACTTTGTGAGACATCTTGAAGATATAATAATAATAATAATCCTTGCATTTGATATAGCGCTTTTCACGTCGGGAGGACGTCCCAAAGCGCTTAATAGGCGCTTTATCAAACGCAAGGATTATTATTATTATAAACAGGAGTCAAATCTCCCCTTCCTAGTAACCAGTTCCACTCATTAATTATACAAATATAACTATGAATTTTTTTTTGGAGGGGGGAGTTATCTTATAATTAGGTCACCTGGTATTTCAATTTATATTTTCACCCACAAAATACACAGCAATCCACTTTAAAGTACATTCTGTGATGCGCTTTGAGACGTATCAATGACGTGATCAGGCTCAATCTCAAATGCAAGGATTACTATTAGATTTGGAAACAAATAATAACAAAGTCTCTCGAATTAGTAGAAGACTTGCAGCAAGTGCTTCAATGACCTACATTGAAATGGCAGGTGGAGGAGGAGGGGAAAGAAATCATCACTTGCATTAGAGTAAGATTCCCTTTCCCGTCAGTTACTGTGAGTGTATACAGTCAGCACTGTGCAATTTTTTCTTGATCACCTCTATGAGCTATGCAGTGCTCTGCTGTTAACCACCCCCCCACCCCATGACATAATGTTATTCACCCATCAAATCTGTTCCTTCTAAAAATCATGCAAAACCTAGCCCATTAAGAAACCCACTTGTCTCCTGGGGGATGTATTGTATACATATTTGCTGAAGACCAAAGTCAAAGAAATGCTGCATAATATTCTCCCACCCACATGTTTACTCACCCAGCTCTGGTCCCCTTTCCGTAGAGAATATTCACCCGATATTTCGGCACATCACCAGTGCAGGACATTTCCGCACATGTAGAAAATAACCATTTTGCTTTTTGTTTAAAAATTGAAGGTTATTATTGTAACATATTTTAACTTGACTAATTGTGCTACTTTTATTCTTTATTTAAATAATTTTGTTCTGTTAAGAAGGATAGTAAAAGATAACTTGTGTTTTTTTTTCCAGAATGGAATTACTGTTTTAAAACAAAAATATCCTGCGCCTCACAGAACTACAACAATTAAACAGTGGATTTAAAAAATATAAAGAACCAGGTTACAGATCTGGTTATGTGTGTTTTTCATTTCTGTCATATTATTATTGTTATTATTAATTATTATTATTACCACCTTCTCATGCAGTGTTCCTCAGGGCTCTGTTCTTGGTCCTCTCCTCTTCAACCTGTACATGCTCCCTCTTGGTGACATCATTCACAGACATGGGGTCAACTTCTACACGTATGCGGATGACACCCAATTCTATCTCTCTGCCTCCACCCTCGACTCCAGGACCATAGATGCCCTGACAGAATGTTTGTCAGACATCAAGTACTGGATGAGAGCCAACTTTCTACAGTTGAACGTCAGCAACACCGAGGCCTGCGGATTGGCTCGCACCAGCGCCTCTGTACCTCTGGCACTGGCAGCATCAGCATCCAAGGATGCACACTCCATCTCACTGAGCCAGTCAGGAACCTGGACGTCTGTTCGACCCTCAACTGTCCTTTCTTCCCTCATCCGTGCCATGACCAGCTCTGGCTTCCCCCAGCTCCGCAATATTGCCCAACTCTGACACTGCCTCCCCCCTCAGGCCATCGAAACTCTCATACATGCCTTCATTACAACCAAGCTCGACTATGCCAATGTCCTCCTTGTCGGCCCCCCAACTCTTCCCTCCACAAGCTGCAGATCATCTAGAGCTCTGAAGCTCATGGCTTCTCCTGCTCCAGGCTCCATGACTCCATCACACCCACTGGAACCCCATCCCTCAGAGGATCAAGGTCAAAATTCTCGTCCTCACCTTCAAGGCCCTCCGTGGCCTGGCCCTCTCCTACCAGCTTATCCTTTTCAACCTGTCAACTTCCTCCGCTCAGCAAGCTCCGGCCTGCTCAATGTCCCCCGCCCGGCTGGGCCCACCATCGGCAGTTGGGCCTTCAGCCTCTCTACCTCCACCCTCTGGAAATCCATCCCACATTCCCTTCGCCTCGCTCCCTCCCTTGCCTCCTTCAATGCACGCCTCAAGACCTTCCTCTTCAACATGCCTTTGACCACCCTCCTACTCTCTCTGCCCTCTCTGATCCCAACCAACCCCCCCACCCCGGGTCCTGACAGTTCAGTGTCTTGGGACGTCTTCCCTACGTGAAAGGCGCTTTACAAATGTAATTTTGTATTATATTGTAAGAAATACTGGAAGTAATGGGGTAGCCCCAAAAACCTATTTCAATTTGAATATATGTGCATTACTGAAC